TGGTCTGTCCTGGTCTGACCTGGTCTCTCTGGTCTGTCCTGGTCTCTCTGGTCTGTCCTGGTCTCTCTGGTCTGTCCTGGTCTGACCTGGTCTCTCTGGTCTGTCCTGGTCTCTCTGGTCTGTCCTGGTCTCTCTGGTCTGGCCTGGTCTGACCTGGTCTGGTCTCTCTCGTCTTCATGACACTCGAGGTTAATGGTTTTGCCTCTGGTCCTGAATCTAAAAATCTCTGATATTGTTTTTTATATTTTCATGAGTGATTTGTTGCTCGCGGCGCTTCGTTCTAAATGATGCAAAACAGAAACAAACTTCTCTTTGTGCCGTGGATCAGAAACGACAGCGAAAGACTGTGTTGACCCTGGAAACGGTGGGAAAGGTTGGCGTGTTGTTTGGATCCGTGTCGGGTTTGCGTCACTGGAAAGACAGGAGGTGTCGAAATAAAAAGGCCAAAACAAACTTGAAACTTTAAAAATAAGTCACACATGCACAAACACACACACACACACACAAGCACACATGCACAAACACACACACACACACACAAGCACACATGCACAAACACACACACACACAAGCACACATGCACAAACACACACACACACAATATATCCTTATATGGGCATTTTGTTCCGCAATGTTAGCTTTGGGCCGTAACAGGGACGGACTTGTTGCTATGGTGGTTGCTAAGGCAAGCTGGAGTTTCCCCCGTGATTGAAGGCCTCTGATTGGTCAGTCCTTATAAATCTTAATATCTGGATTTAAAAAGACATTATCCTTGAGCTCTTCCCTGTTAGGTTTCATAGAGATGATTCTGAACAGAGTAAATGCTTGGACTGAAGCAAAACTTGTTTTTGCAAACTCATAAACTAAACATTATTTATAGTTTTGCGGTGGGTTCATGTTTATAACAAATAAATGAATACGGTCGTTCTGTAGCTTGAGACATGTACCTTTAAAATAATGTGCAACATGCCATGATAGTCCATATTACAGTAAACACTTTGTGTTAGTTTTACCCAACCCACATGGGAAAGTGTCAGTTTGATGTTGAATAAGGACTAATAAGTAGTTAATAAACACCAATTAGGTCGCTAATTAACCATCAATTAAACACTAATTAGTGGTATAAATAATATAATAATCCTTAACATAAACATAAACACATAAGTCTAACTTACCGCTACACTGAAGACGTTTCAACAAAAAAAGTCGCAAGGCGGGTCAAAGGCCCAGTTGTTTTGACCCACCAGCCCATGTTGCTCAGTGTAAAGAAGGTGGCAACTTTTATTTGGTAAATCTCCCATATTTTTTGTCAGTGCAAATGAAGCTCCACTTAAGACTGTTTTGTAAAAATTTAGCTCCAACCCGTGTTAAGTCTTCTACAGACCGACAAACAACAATTGAACCAAAACAGTTTCCAATAAAATCTTTATTCATTTATAATTTCTTTACAGTTTTCAGAAACATGACGACATAAACTCTGACACAGAGAAACTCAAGGCTCGAACATGGGGAGGCCCACATTGTACAAAAATAACAAAAACAGAATCTACAGACTCAGAAATGTCACGGTACATTCAATATTCTCCGGTCGCACAAACAAACGCACACACTCTGGAACGCACAAAAACACCACATTTTATAAATTTTCTGCTTAAACGTTTCAAAGATAATCATAGTTATCATACCACATTTGCATATTAACTAACGCACACACACACACACAGTAGCAGTAGTTTTAGCAGTAGCAGTAGTATTAGCAGTAGTATTAGCAGTAGTATTAGCAGTAGTTTTAGCAGTAGCAGTAGTTTTAGCAGTAGTATTAGCAGTAGCAGTAGTTTTAGCAGTAGTATTAGCAGTAGCAGTAGTATTAGCAGTAGCAGTAGTATTAGCAGTAGCAGTAGTATTTGCAGTAGTATTAGCAGTAGTTTTAGCAGTAGTATTAGCAGTAGCAGTAGTATTAGCAGTAGTATTAGCAGTAGCAGTAGTATTAGCAGTAGTATTAGCAGTAGTTTTAGCAGTAGCAGTAGTTTTAGCAGTAGCAGTAGTATTAGCAGTAGCAGTAGTATTAGCAGTAGCAGTAGTATTAGCAGTAGTTTTAGCAGTAGCAGTAGTTTTAGCAGTAGCAGTAGTATTAGCAGTAGCAGTAGTATTAGCAGTAGCAGTAGCAGTAGTATTAGCAGTAGTTTTAGCAGTAGCAGTAGTTTTAGCAGTAGCAGTAGTATTAGCAGTAGCAGTAGTATTAGCAGTAGCAGTAGCAGTAGTATTAGCAGTAGCAGTAGTATTAGCAGTACGGTGGCTGAGTGGATAGCACTCTCGCCTCTCAGCAAGAAGGTCCTGGGTTCAAATCCCGGTCGGACCAGGGCCTTTCTGAGTGGAGTTTGCATGTTCTCCCCGTGTCTGCGTAGGTTTCCTCCGGGTACTCCGGTTTCCCCTACCACTAAAAATATGTCCAATAGTTCTGGCATGTGCCTCCTGTACTGGCCCCTCCCATCTCTGTGTGGAGTGAGAGACAAATGCCCAAAAATTAACAATTGTTAACCGCTTTGAGACTCAGATCTGCAGTGAAAAGGCGGTATATAAATAAATACTTACTACTTACTTACTACTAGTAGCAGTAGTATTAGCAGTAGCAGTAGTATTAGCAGTAGCAGTAGTATTAGCAGTAGCAGTAGCAGTAGTTTTAGCAGTAGCAGTAGTATTAGCAGTAGCAGTAGTATTAGCAGTAGCAGTAGTATTAGCAGTAGCAGTAGCAGTAGTTTTAGCAGTAGCAGTAGTTTTAGCAGTAGCAGTAGTATTAGCAGTAGCAGTAGTATTAGCAGTAGCAGTAGTATTAGCAGTAGCAGTAGTATTAGCAGTAGCAGTAGTATTAGCAGTAGCAGTAGTATTAGCAGTAGTTTTAGCAGTAGCAGTAGTTTTAGCAGTAGCAGTAGTATTAGCAGTAGCAGTAGTATTAGCAGTAGCAGTAGCAGTAGTTTTAGCAGTAGCAGTAGTTTTAGCAGTAGCAGTAGTATTAGCAGTAGCAGTAGTATTAGCAGTAGCAGACGTATTAGCAGTAGCAGTAGTTTTAGCAGTAGCAGTAGTACTTTCTCAGCCTCTTTGCTCAAAAAAGGTAAAAAATGAAATGTTTTTGCCTCAAACTGAGTTCATCGTCAGACTCTGTGTAAACAATGGTCTAACAGGGAATTTACACAGTAGGCGTAAACAGCGCGTACGCGTTTACTGCGCGCTCTCTGTGCGTAACATTTTTTTGGAGTATCTACACAGGCCGTGTGCAGGTCCTTCTGATGCTCTCCCTGTGTAGTCTATGGAGCAGTGTAGAGGACAGTACGAGCCAGAGGACTGATGTAGAGCAACACAAATCACATGCATGTGTTTGTCTTCATGGTCTCTGTTGCTGGTTTGGCCAGACGTGAGACTTTATGAAAGAAAAAATACGATGTCCAGAATCACTGTAAAACATGCTGCTCCTCCTGCTGATGTTTAGATACAAGTGCTGTGTGTGTGTGTGTGCGTGCGAGCGTGCGTATACTGCGATCTAGAGCCAAGGGCCGCTAGAAAAATCATGTTTTACATGAGATTTCAATGGGAGACGCGTTGGTGCGCGCACAAAATTAGAAATCCATCCAAAATTAGAGCGCAGCTTCGCGTCATATGTCCGTCATTCACGCGTATAACGCTAGAAGTGTAAATATCATCATAGGTTAACATGGAAAAAAGTTACGCGCGTCTGCTGCGCGTATAACGCGTACGTGCTGTAACGCGTGATGTGTAAATTAGCAGTAATACTGTCGGCCATTTTGCTTTAGCAAATGGAGGACGTTTTTCAGTGATGAACAAATACTCAGCTTTACTACACACTTTTCATGAGCGCCGTC